AACCACTATGTCAAAACCTAATATATAAATGATAAGATAAAAATTTTATAGCAAATTTGTAAAGCTTAAATTGATAATTTATGGGAAGAAAATTTTTTTGAAATTGGTCAAAGAATAAATTTTCTATGGCTTTTCAAATTTGTGGAAAAACACATTATATAAAATATTCGAAAATAAAATGACTTTATTTATGGATAGTAGACAATTATTAGATAAAGATTTTAATACTATTACTTTTTCTAAAAACAAAATTTTTTTATGTCGAATATTTTTTTAGATAATCAAATTTAAATAAAAATTACATTATCATATTACAATGTTGCGTTTTTTAGTATAATTTAATTATCTGAAAAAATATTTGACATAAAAAAATTTTGATTTTAGAAAAAGTAATAGTAGTAAAATCTTTATCTAATAATTGCCTACTATCCATAAATAACGTCATTTTATTTTCGAATATTTTATATAATGTGTTTTTCCACAAGTTTGAAAAGCCAAAGAAAATTTATTCTTTGACCAATTTCAAAAAAATTTTCTTCCCATAAATTATCAATTTAAGCTTTACAAATTTGCTATAAAATTTTTATCTTATCATTTATATACTAGGTTTTGACATAGTGGTTTGCAAACATCCCGTTAAAAATGTGATCACGTGATTTAAATTTAAAAATGAAAAGTGGTTATATCACGCGTAAATAACTAAATTATAAACTTTTTACAGAAATAATTTATCTCTACCAGATCAAAAGTTATTTAGAAAACCGCTCGGACATAATTAATGAAATACTTCTTTATATATATATATAATAGTAATATAACAGATTAAGCGCTCATTAAAAATGTTATGGTTTTTACAAAATTAAAAAAAAAATTCTTTTAAATAAAAATGTCAAATAATTTTTAAATGTTTGTATTAAATAAGTGCTATAATAAAGTTAAATGCAAATAAATATATGCAAAAATAAATTATTATTATTGTATATAAATTAGAAACTAAAATATATATTAGTAAATAGTAAATGTATTTATAAATTTAAATAAAAATAATAATGTTTAAAAATTTAAGTGTATTTTATGTCATAATATTTATTATAAATTTTTTTTTCAGTATTGAATTGTCATTAATTTTTTTATTGGTTTTTTAAACGATAAATAAAATTTATAACTTAACAAAATTTGAAGTATAACTTATAATATGAATATAATATAAAAAGTTTTATAATAAATTAAATTAAATTATATTATTTTTTGTTTTATTAAAAAAAAACAGACACTTAAAAAATAATGAAATTTCTTAATAGGTATTATTAGTTTATTTGGTTTATTAAATTTAAAAATAAAAAAAAATACAACTCATATATATATATATATATATATATATATATATATATATATATATATATATATATATTAAATATTAATTTATAATAATAAATAGTAAAGTTTTTATTATTCAATAAATTTTTATCAAAAATTATAATTCAAAAGCAAAACTTTAGTATTATTTTTTTATTAATATTTTCATACAAATACAGTTATATAACTCTCTCTCTCTCTCTCTCTCTCTCTCGCTCTCTCTCTCTCTCTCTCTCTGTCTTTCTTTCTTTCTTTCTTTCTCTCAATATTTATAATTTATAAATTTAATAAAAAAAACAATTAATTTAAATAAAAACCAAAATAATTTTGTTTTTGTTTGGATACATGTACTATATATTGATACATTTTTTCTATTAATTTATAATAATTAACTAATAAATATATATTTTTGAATGTCTATTGAATATTATAGACTAAAATAATACCTGAAATTTTTTTATTTAAATTATTAATTTTTATTTATTTAAACATTAAATTAATGACATGTATTTTCTCTGTATGAAAATTGGATAAAATTTAATTTCAATTAATTACAATATGTTATTGTATTATAGATAATACTATTGTTGTCTTAAACTTATTGTTGTAAAAAAGATTAAGACAATAGTTATATATAAAGTACTATAAAACTTAACGATTTTTAATTTTATTGTTTATTTAACCTTTTTTTTATAGATAACTACTACTATAATATAATCGGTTAGTATTACGGGCCAGTAGTGGCCAATAATACTGATCTGTATTATATAGATACAGTAAAAATGATTAATTTAAATCTTAAAAAAAAAATTTACAAATTAAACAATTTTAATAAACGCGATAAAAAAATATTTAAAATTCAATTGTTTAGTTTGTTATTTTATTTTTTAAAAATTTGAAAGTAATTTACTAATAGGAAAAACCAACCGTTGAATTTAAATACCATTTTTGTTTATTGTTGAATACTACCACCTAATAGTCAAAAACCATACATTCCCATTGCATACCTTTCCCGCTAGCACTGTACAAACGGACACACACACACACAGACAAACCAATCACACATTCAATCAGACCATACAAACTCATACACAGATACACAATACCTAACGATAAACTGATTGAACACCACCACCACTACCACCACCGCTGCCATCATCAGCCAGTGACTGGCCTATGAATCCGATCGTAAACAATATGGCTGACAACGATTGGCGATACAATTACTTCAACCTAAACAATGAAACAGATATCTGGATACGGGAGACACACTTTGTGAACGATGCGGGACAGTCGGATTTCTGGACACAATCGGCCTATCATCGGGTGTTCGGTTTGTATGTCAGACGTGCGAAAATCCGTAAACAACAAAAGACATACATGTTGTCCGTGTGTACTGTTAGTTATAAGCGATTACTTCCCGGCGACTATCATCGGTACGCCTTGTATTGGCCATACTATGTTAGCTATCCGGCCGATCCACTTAGGTATTACTATGACGACACGGATCAGATAAAATTAATGCCAAAAGGTTCGGTATCGGAATCCACTTTCCATCAGTCGATAACATCGATGCTAACCATGTCTGGACTACGGGGCAATCTAGAGATCAATAGTCATCAACAACAACAACAACAACAACAACAACTACAACAATCAGATCCAAATATACAGATCGACCAGCACAGGGAATACTTTAGGCTATCGGCTCGCAAACAACTGGGCCAACACGTGTTTATCAGTACAGACGGCTTCATAAATACGGTCTACTGTTCAATTTATTTGTCCGGCAATAGACAATACGACTATTTTGTTGGTCCCCGAACCGGTACGACTGCCATCTATCCGACCGTACGTAACGAATGGTACGAAAGAAAACCGAATACCGCCGATGAATGGGAAGTGATTTGGTCACCGAACGGTTTAGATCTAGTACTGGTCCGACAAGTATTTACAATGGGTCTGGCATTCAGACGATTCGGTCCGAACCAAGAATCGCTTATCTATATGGTCCGCGAAACCGGTCAATCGGGTACTACTGATCGGTGGAGAGGACCTGAATCGGCTGAACAGACATACGAATCATTCCTATGGAACCATTCGCCAGACGGACGAAATGATAATCGTTTGTATACACGATTTCTTGGCGAACGCAGATGGCATCGGTTTGGCGGTGGCTATGATATGACACAGGAGTTGTTTAGTAAGATTAGCAAACAGTACGACACTGACACTGACAACGACGATGGACAGGCAGTGCTGCCGGCGGGTGCTGTCGGCGGAACCATAGCTGATCAAGCGTTAGCCGATAACACTGTATTTGCAGTCTATGTGTGTGCCGGCGCTAAACTAATAGTTACCGACAACTACCAGGAAGATATTAATATTGAAAATCATAATCGATCGCTGTTTGAACAGGGATCGGTAGTCATTGTCGAGGATCAACTATGGATGAATGTGCCCTACAATACAAAAAAAAGGTATTAGACTAATCAAATGGCCGGAATTTTGCAACAACTATATGACCACTGAAATGTCTGAACGGGCAAACAAGTTCAAAAATCCGGTACTGTTTTTGGGGGCCAATGAGTCCGACTATAATACTATTGCTTGGAATTTGATGATCGAGAATATGGGCGAAAAAATAAGTAGCCAACCGATCGTAGATCCACAGTCACCGCAGCAAAAATATTTGGTTGGATTTGAACGCCGATGCTTTTTGGAAGTACCCGAAGGCGGTTATATTGTCGGAGTCGAAGACTGGCCGGACGGTATCAGAGAGATTGAGTACCGACACCGATACGAACAGTTGCATCGGGCAATTGTCAAACATCAGATGCCCGAACGGAACCGATACACTGGTCCTCACTCGTATGAGTTACCGCCCGAAGTGAAGTGGCTAAACAAAATTATATTGAATATCAATACGGATATAATTACAATCGTAGATCGACTGACAGGTCAACCTATACATCATCCCGATAGATACGAACGGGACATCCATATCGATATTGTTGACAATACACCACAGATTAGACAGGCCTACAGTGAACTGATTGGGCAACGGTTCGTTGAAAGTGGACACTCTATTCGGCCAAAAGAATTCAATTTTAGCCGATTTTCGGGACTACCACTGGATCCGTTGAATCCGGCCTTCGACACAATTATCGAAATGTTCAAAATATCGCCGCCAGCCTATCCGCCCGTCAAGATTCAGACCAATCAATCGGGCGATCAGTATCGGCTGTTTTATTTGCCACAGTCGATACGTTTCAAACGACAACTATACGATAATACCGGCGCTGTCACCGTCGGCCAAGATATTATCGATTTGAATCTGTTGACTGTCTTCAACAAATATCACATCCATCCGATTACCTATAAAACTGTTTACAACGATACGGCTATATATCCGACCCCAGCCGACGACCATAATTTTAAACAATTTAAACTAATATTAAACAATTGTAAATTTAAATTCCCGGAATACGATTGGTGGTGGCGTTACCCGAATCCCTATCTCGACAAACATCGACTTACGAATGTCGAAAACATACGGCTAGGAGTTGATGGACACTTCTACGAGAAATCAGGGAGCCGATCTATGTTGTAAGCACCGTTTTTTATATTATTTACACGCGCTATTGTTTCAATCATTTTAATTATATTTCACGCGATATTTACACGTATTTTTATAATTAATAAATTAAAAGTAAATAAGTTTAAGCAAAAATAAGATCATTTTCTATTTAACTAACCTAACCTATTTACACAATTGTTAACATAACCTAATCTATTGTATTAGTGTTCGCTCCGTTACCTAACCTGGTGTTCGGACCGCAACCTTAACCTAATTATAATGGTAGTAATGTATTATAATGTCAATAGCGCGTGAAATATAATTAAAATGATTGAAACAATAGCGCGTGTAAATAATTTAAAAAACGGTGATTACAACATAGATTTTAGCCGAAATCAGGCCAAACAACTATCGGTTACATTCAAAGCTCGTACTATGAGTTATTTGATTGTCGGACTAGAACTAAGATTGTGGCCAACTTTGATGGTATTCTGGATGAGCCGACAAATTCTGGACAATCGGACATTGGTTTCGATCGGATATCTGATACAGAATTGTATGATTTAGTTTACAACAATCCAAATGGCAGAGTATATCCGTTTGTTCCCAATCCATGGTCACAAGTGGCAACCAGTGCAAGTAGTCAACCAAGTGGTCACCCAAGTACTCAACCAAGCGGTCAACCAAGTAGTCAGCCAAGTGGTCGCCCAAGTATTCAACCAAGTGGTAAACCAAGTGGTAGTGGTAACCAAAGATATAGACAATCACGAGGTGGCAGTGGTCGCAATAAAAACCAATTCACAGGAAGCAGCGGTACTCAGAYCAGTGCTAGCGGTAAATCAAGTACTCAATCAACTGGTCAACCCAGTGGTCCCAGCGGTAACCAAAGTGGTCAATACAAACAATCTAGAGGTGGCAGTGGTCCCAATAAAAACCAATTCACTGGACGCAGCGGTTTACAACAAGGCAACAGYAGTGGTGGTGGTGGTGGTGGTAGTGCTAACCAAACACGAGGCCAATCCAGACAATCTCAAGGTAGCCGAGCCGGTACCAGCAGATACCAGACCACATATGGTCAACAAACTGGTGGCTCTCGAACTGCTGGTCAACAACAACAACGACAACAACGACAACAACGACAACAACATCATAATCCTCCTCCACCTCCTGTTAGTCCAATAGTAGATTCCCAAGGGTTTACAGTTGTGGAAAATCGGAAGAAAAAGAAAGAACGTCAGTATGGAAGTGATGGCGGCTGTTCCGACACAAACAAACCCAGAGATCCTGGAGATGGTAGGKGTGGTGGTGGTAGAGGTGGTGCTGGTGGTATAGGTAGTGGTGGTACTTGTGGTGGTAGATCTAAATCAAAATACAATTGACGGCATATTATGGTCTATATGTGTATATACAATATGTAAGTATCAATCAGTCAATCAGTCAAACAGTCAAACAAAAGCACTGGTCATTCAAATTCAATTGACTCCTAATATATATATATATATATRTAAACATCTGATATCAGTGTAATTTTGTTAAAATAAAAAAATATATAATGTTTTTAAATATAGTGTGAGTGAGTTAGCCACCCTTAACCCCTAACTTTAGTTAATAAAAAAAAAATTTTTTTTAGTAAATATTGAAATTTGTAAATCAAATTCAAAGACACAATAATATACATGTAATATATTGTAATAAAATAATAATAATTTCAATAATAAACTAAATAGACTTAATAGAAAAATAAAAGTTATTAATTAATTAAATCACTAATAATAATAATATGCTTATAATTTTTGATCATTTTTACATTTGATTAAATATTTTAAACAGTTGTTAAATAATTTATATAAAATTTTAATGGCTTTAATTTTAAAAATTTAAGCAAACTTATAATTTTTATTATTTTTTGCAAATTGTTTTTTACGTGTAACAATAAATATTTTTTTTTTAAGTCACTGTTTAGTCAACAATATATTTTTATTTAATCTATAAATTAATATAATAGTTCTGTCTGTTTGTATGTATGTGTGCACATTTCATCAACAACCATTTTTTAATTCAAAGCTAAAAATATTTTGTTATATTTTCAATTTTTATTTAAAGCCATGCTATTTCTATGGGAAATTTTTAATGATTATTAAGCTCAGGTAGGTTTTAGGGACAGGTAGGCTGGTGTTGTGTAATTAAACTTTGCTATATTGAAACAAATGGTGATCAACAACAACGACGGTGACGGTGAAGACGATGAAGAAGAAGAAGAAGAAGACAACGGAAGAAGTGGTAATCAAAATATATTTATTTAATAATAATAATAATAATAATTTTCATTTGATTGATAGGGAGAGGGAGTCAAAGACTGAGAGAGAGAGCACATGTCAATGTCTGCCCTTTTTATAGAGCGCTGAAGTGCTCTCTGAGCTGTTGTGAACAGTGGCGCCTTTACTGGGCGTCAATATTATATGAGTCACAGGGCACCGGGAGGTAAGCTACCTGTGCTAAATTTTTGTAAAATTTTCTCAAATGCAAAAATTTTCAATTTGTGTTAAAATTTTCAATTTTTATTTAAAGCAATGTTATTTCTATGGGAAATTTTAAATGATTATTGTGCATTGGTAGGTTTTATGGACATGTAGGCAGGTGTTGTGTTATTATACTTTACTATATGAGTCACAGGGCAACGGCAATGTGTTTTTTAATTGCAACAATAAATAATTTTTTTTTTTTTTAAATCACTGTTTAGTCAACAATATATTTTTATTTAATAGTTATTTAATAATAATTTTTTTTTAAACTTTAATATCGAGCTAAAAGTAATTGTTTGATAATAATAAAAAAAATTGATAAAATAAATTGTTATCAAACCGTTTATTAAAGTAATTGACTAAATCAGGAAAAACCAACCGTCAAATTGAAATATCATTTTTTTTTTGTTGGATACCACCACCTAATAGTCACCACAAAACAAGACAACCACATTACCATTGCATACCTTTCCGCTATCACTGTGTCATAAACACACACATAAATCATATACTCAATCACCTCACCTGACACACACACACACACCTAGTTTAGTAATCAACAGATCAATACCTAAAAACCAGATTGAATACCAACACCGACAGCACCGACAGCACCGACAGCACCGACAGCACCGACAGCACCGACACCACCAACACCACGGCTGTTGTATAGTATAGCTGCCACTTGTTGGCACKCGATTAATATTTCTATATATTTTAGTTAAGTTTAGGTTAGGTTAGGTCGCGCGACAATAAATATTTACCGTTAAATATATAGAAATATTAATCGCGTGCCAACAAGTGGCAGCTATACTATACAATACCCACCACCACCGACACCACCGACACCACCGACATCACCGACACCACCGACACCACCGACACCACCGACACCACCGCCACCACCGACACCACCGACACCACCGACACCACCGACACCACCGACACCACCGACACCACCGACACCACCGACACCACCGACACCACCGACACCACCGACACCACCGACACCACCGACACCACCGACACCACCGACACCACCGACATCACCGACACCACCGACACCACCGACACCACCGACACCACCGCCACCACCGACACCACCGACACCACCGACACCACCGACACCACCGACACCACCAAAGCCAATACCTATCCAGACACAGAGTAGACCCGATCCCCTCCAAACAACACAAACAATATCACTGTGTCATAAACACAAAAAAAACACAAATCATATACTCAATCACCTCACCTGACACACACACACACCTAGTTTAGTAATCAACAGATCAATACCTAAACACTAGATTAAACACCGACACAACCAAAACCAATACCTAACCAGACCCAAAGTGATCACCACCACCACCACTACGACAGCCTTTAAAAAAAGCCAGTAACCTAAATAGACCCGATCCACCCCCACCAACCAAACAAACAATATGGCCAACGATTGGCGATACAATTACTTTAGGAACAAATCTATATTATAGACAGCCACTAGAAATTTATTTGACCCAAAAATTTTTTTTTAGTAAATATTGAAATTTGTAAATCAAATTCAAAGACACAATAATATACATGTAATATAGTGTAATAATATTAAAAAAAATGTTATTCAATAATACAATAAAAAACTAAATAGACTTAATAGAGAAATATAAATCTAAAATATAAAATCTAAATATAAAAATTATTATTTAAATCACTAATAATAATTATATGCTTATAATTTTTTATAATTTTTACATTTGATTAAATATTTTAAACTGTTGTTAAATAATTTATTTAAAATTTTAATGGCTTTAATWTAAAAAAAAATTATTATACAATATATAATTAATAATTTTGAACATTTTTTATGCAACTTGTTTTTTACGTGCAAAAATAAATAATTTTAAAAAAATTCATTGTTTAGTCAACAATACATTTTTATTAAATAGTTTTTTAATAATAATATTTTTTTTGACTTTAATATCGAGCTAAAAGTAATTGTTTGACAAACAAAATAAATTGTTATCAAACCGTTTATTAAAGTAATTGACTAAATCAGGAAAAACCAACCGTCAAATTGAAATATCATTTTTTGTTGTTGTTGTTGGATACCACCACCTAATAGTTACCACAAAACAAGACAACCACATTACCATTGCATACCTTTCCGCTATCACTGTGGTATAAACACACACACACACAATTGAAAATATCACCTTTTTAGTAATCAACAGATCAATACCTAAAAACCAGTTATTGAATACCACCACCGACAGCACCGACAGCACCGACACCACCGACACCACCGACACCACCGACACCACCGACACCACCGACACCACCAACACCACAGTCACCACCGTCACCACCGACACCACCGACACCACCGACACCACCGACACCACCGTCACCACCGTCACCACCGACACCACCAACACCACCGACACCACCAACACCACCGACACCACCAACACCATTACCTAACCCGATCCCTCCCCCACCACACAAACAATATGGCCAACGATTGGCGATACAATTACTTTAATAAAACAAACGAAACGGATCTATGGATACGCGAGGCTTACTTTGTGAACGATTCGGGAAATTTCGATTTCTGGACCCAATCGGCCTATCATCGGGTATTCGGACTGTATGTCAAACGTATGCAAAAGCCGGGACACAAAGGTGAAAGTGCCTTCACATTCAAGTTGACCGCTTCAGTGAAAAGTAAACTGACCAACGATTTTCATATGTACCTCATGTATTGGCCAATAGATCCAAGCTATCCGTCCCGTCTACATAAATATTACTATGACGACCAAGGTCAGAAGCATAGATTATATTCAAAACAGACAGGTTATGCCCGGGAATGTATGTTCTATCAGACAATAACATCGATGCTTGTAATTGGTAAACATATACCCGGTGAGGAGGACAACCAGACACAACAACAACAACAGTCCACACAGCAGTCGTCAACGAAAGATACAGACTATTATAATTGGCTATACTTTCATCTAACTGTTCGCGCACAACTGGGCCAACACGTCTATCTCACTAAAGAAGCTCACATATCAACTATCTATATTAGCTTCATATTGTTGCCACCGACCACCACTACTGGCCAACAACAACAACGGCTATACAATTATGAAGTAATGCAAACAAATACCGTGTGTGCCATCTTTCCGACCATACGTAACGAATGGCACGAAAAAGATCCGAATACCGATAAGTGGACAGAGATTAGAGATCCGGACAAATCCATAATAATGGTCCGACAAGTGTTTACAATGGGTCTGGCATTCAGACGATTCGGTGAAAACGGCGAATCGCTTATCTATCTTAGCCGTAATCCCCGTACTGGCCGTCTAAAAGCGCCGAACTCCTATGAAAAGCCTATGAATACATTCTATTGGAACAACTCTAAAGACAATCGAAATGATAATCGATTGTATACTAGATTTACTGGTGAATCCAATTGGCATAACYTTGGCGGTGCCTATGATCTGACTCAACAGTTGTTTGATRATATTAGAGATCAGTACGACAACAACAACAACAGCGCACAGTTAGCAGCAGGCGGTGCTGTCGGCGGTCCTAATCAAGCGTTGGCCAAAAACACAGTATTTGCAGTGTATTTGTGTGCCGGCGCTAAACTAATAGTAATCGACAGCTATCACAAAAATTTAAACATTAAACATCACAATCGATCGTTGTTTGAACAGGGATCAGTGGTCATTGTCGAGGATCAACTATGGATGACTGTGCCGTACAATACAAAACCAGATACCCTATTGCAAGTACTACTGAATTGGCCAGAGTTTTGCAACAAATATATGACCCGTGAAATGTCTGAACGGGTAAAAGAGTTTGAAAATCCGGTACTGTTTTTGGGCGCCAATGAGTCCGACTATAATACCAGTGCTTGGAATTTGACCATCGATTATATGGGCAAAGAAATGAATATCAAAAGTCGCCGAAAAAGACAAAAAAATTTGGTTGCATTTGAACGCCGATGTTATTTGGAAATACCCGAAGGCGGGTATATTGTTGGCGTCGAAGACTGGACGGACGGTATCAGAGAGATTGAATACCGACACAAATACGAACAGTTGCATCGGGCAATTGTCAGACATGAGAGGCCCGAACGGACCCGATTTACTGGTCCTCATGCCTATGAATTACCGCCCGGTGAAGTGTGGCTAAACAAAATTATATTGAACACCAATACGGATATCATTACAATCGTTGATCGAAATACAGGTCAACCAACCCAACGTCCCGATGGATACGAACGGGACATCCATATCGATATTGTTGCGCAAACACCAGAAATCAGTGAGGCCTACATTGAACTGATGGGACCGTATTTCAATCAAGAGGATCACACTATTCATCCGAAAGAATTCAATTTCAGCCGATTTGCTGAACTACCACCGGATCCGATGAATCCGGTAAACAGCGAACTAATGAAAACATACAGAGTATCGCCAGCGGCTTATCCACCCGTAAAGATTCAGACCAGTCAATCGGGCGATAACTACCGACTATTTTATTTGCCGCAAAACATACGTTTCATTGTACAGCTGTACGATGGCGTTGAAGAAGTTGTTGACTGGAATTTGTTGACTGTCTTCAAAAACTATGCAATGGATCCGATCAGATACAGTACTGAAGACAACAATACTAATATATATCCCAATAACGTCGCCAATCCGGACAGTCCTATTATACTAAAGCTAAGCGAAACTAAATATACATTTCCTGAATACGAGTGGAACTGTTTGGACAATCCGTTTATCCGCAAACATCTCATAGAGAATGACGAATACATTCGGCTGGGAATTGACGGACACTTCTATGAATTGGTAAAAAATCTAAGTAATAGTCAACCAGAAGCCGGACCGACACCTATTGGTTACATTCAAAGCTATTACTATGAATTGTTTGACAAACGAACCGGTAATAAAATTGTGGACAACTTTACTTTTATTGAAGTAAAATCTGAACAACCGGTCATTGGTTTCGATGAGATTACAGACAATCAGTTGAATGATTTGGTGAACAACAATCCAAACGGCGTATTTCCATTTGGTCCAAATCCATGGAAACGCAGTGGTAGTAGTGGTGGTAGTGGTGGTAGTGATGGTTGTGGTGGTAGTGATGGTAGTGATGGTAGTGATGGTAGTGATGGTAGTGGTGTTAGCCAAAGTGACGAATCCATACACTCTCAAGATAGCAATGATTACAATACAACACAACTTCAAGGAGTCGGTGGTTCACCACAAAGTGGTCAATCCTTACGATCTAAAGGTGGCAGTGCTTGGCAACAACAAAGTGGCCAAAACACTGGTAGACGTAACCGAAGAAGAGGTCAATCCAGACAATATCGAGGTGGCGGTGGTTTAAACACATACCAATATCAAGGTGGCGGTGGTTCACAACAAAGTGGCCGAAACATTGGTAGTGGTTACCGAGGAGGAGGACAATCCAGTCGATCTCGAGGTGGCGGTGGTTCAAATACATACCAATATCAAGGTGGCGGTGGTTCACAACAAAGTGGTCAAAACAGTGGTAGAGGTTACCGAGGAGGAGGACAATCCAGTCGATCTCGAGGTGGCGGCGGTTCACAACAAAGTGGCCAAAACACTGGTAGAGGTTACCGAGGAGGAGGACAATCCAGTCGATCTCGAGGTGGCGGCAGTTCACAACAAAGTGGCCAAAACACTGGTAGAGGTTACCGAGGAGGAGGAGGACAATCCAATCGATCTCGTGGTGGCGGTGGTTCAAACACACACCAATCGCCAGGAGACGATGGTTCACAACAAAGTGGCCAAAACACTGRTAGATCTAACCGAGGAGGAAGAGGCCAATACAGACAAAATCGAAGTGGCGGTGGTTCACAACACTGGTAGTGGTAATTTTTGATATTGATTTATAAAATTTATTAAAAAAAGACAACTAAAAAAATTCAATCATTTCTATTGTTTGTTTTTTTTTAAAAATATAYATGAAAATTAAAAATTAAAAATATTTAAATTTAATTGTTGAATAACCGTTTAAAGTAATCTACTGTAAGTGAAACCAACAGTCAAATTGATATATCATTTATATGATTGGTTACCACTTAATAGTCAAAACCAGATGCATTTCCCATTGCATACCTTTCCACTATCACTGTATTGATTATTATTTTTTACTTTAGTTGTAGTAATAGTGTGAGTGAGTTAGTTAGCTATTAAAATCCAATTAATATTAAATGACAATCAATACTAATAAAAAAAAATTTATTAGGGAATTATATCCCTTGCCTTTTTCCTAACAAACCAACCACACCCCCACCCCACCCCTAACTATTGATCCAAAAATTAGTTATAGATATTAAGTATTTAGTTAATAAAAATTTTTTTTTTTAGTAAATATTGAAATTAGTAAATCAAATTCAAAGACACAATAATATAATGTAATATATTGTAATAATAATTATAAAAAAAAATAATTATTCAATAATTCAATTAAAAAAAACTAAATAGACTTAATAGAGAAATAAAAGTTATTATTTAAATCACTAATAATAATAATATGCTTATAATTTTTGATCATTTTTACATTTGATTAAATATTTTAAACAGTTGTWAAATAATTTATATAAAATTTTAATGGCTTTAATTTTAAAAATTTATATTTAAAAAATTTATTATACAAACTTATAATTTTTATTATTTTTTGCAAATTGTTTTTTACGTGTAACAATAAATAATTTTTTTTAAAAATTACTGTTTAGTCAACAATATATTTTTATTTAATAGTTATTTAATAATAATTTTTTTTGACTTTAATATCGAGCTAAAAGTAATTGTTTGATAATAAAAAAAATTGATAAAATAAATTGTTATCAAACCGTTTATTAAAGTAATTGACTAAATCAGGAAAAACCAACCGTCAAATTGAAATATCATTTTTTTTGTTGTTGGATACCACCACCTAATAGTCACCACAAAACAAGACAACCACATTACCATTGCATACCTTTCCGCTATCACTGTGTCATAAACACACACATAAATCATATACACAATCACCTCACCTGACACACACACACCTAGTTTAGTAATTAACAGATCAATACCTAAAAACCAGATTGAATACCAACACCGACAGCACCGACAGCACCGACACCACACACCACCGACATCACCGACACCACCGACATTACCGACACCACCGACACCACCGACACCACCGACATCACAGACACCACCGACACCACCGACACCACCGACACCACCGACACCACCGACACCACCGACACCACCGACACCACCGACACCACCGACACCACCGACACCACCGACACCACCGACACCACCGACACCACCGACACCACCGACACCACCGACACCACCGACACCACCGACACCACCGACACCACCGACACCACCGACACCACCGACACCACCGACACCACCAAAACCAATACCTAAACGGATCCCCTCCCCCCACCACCGATACACACAAACAATATGGCAGACGATTGGCGAT